CAATCCGTTTAAAGACAATGACAGAAACACAAATGAGATTAGACATGGGCAACCCCAAGATGAAGAGAGAATCGAAAGTGTGTATAACGAAATAGACGAATTAGCAATGAACACTTTAACTTCAAGAAGATCATTTCATCACTCGTACTTAGAAATAACAAATAGTCTTAGTAGCAACCTGCACACAAAAGGTAGTAGCACACCAAACATTAGTTGTTCCACACATGTATGCTCTAAATCACAACCCCTGCAACAAAAAACTCTACGTAGACAACGAAATAAATTGAAAAAACGCACCAATGACCAACACAGTCCAGTAGGAAGTGAATATTCAGATGAACACATACGTCCAACGTCTTTTGTACAACATCGGTCAATTGAAATAATGTTTGAACACCGAGGAATCTCGTCACCAAACGATAACACTGTTACAGGTAAACAGAATGAGTCTTCTATTTCCAAAGAATCTACCTATATTGGTTTCGGTAGATCAATGAGCTATAACAAACTAACGTTGAAAGATGTTAGAAATCAAACAAGAAGAATCAATGTTGTAGATAATCCGATTTACCTTGAAACAGTGAATCGGCATCCCAAATTCGCGACATGGTTTTCAAAGAGAAAAACTATATAATTTTAAAACACACAGTCAGTCTTCATATATAATTAACAATGCTTATTATTTATATTTCAATCGTGCATTATTTGATATTATACAATTGCATTACAGTTTTTAAGATAGTGTCCTGTGTATTTTTCGATATGCATTTGGGTTTATTATCATGATGCTGATTAGCTCAGATAACAAATGTAAAATAAACACTATGATTTTTTAGTTTTATCAATTATATTCTTTCCCATGTCGGACAGGTGAAAAACTTGATATGATTGAAATTTCTATTTCTTGAAAAAACGCTATAACTCCTTCAAATTTTGGGATATATTTAAATCGTCAGTTAATATTATTATCAATCGTCTAATAAAAACAACGATCACATCGTTTTTTGTTTGTATAAATGGACTGATGATTTTAATTTTTTCATTAAATAATTCATTTTTTTTTATTTTTTTTGGGGGGGGGGGGGGGGGGGGGGGCGAAATTTTAAGAGGCAAACGATTATGTTTGAAATTTAGTATATTTTGGTGGGTAAATCATGTAAATTTCATGAGAATTTTTTTTTGTATTTTGTAAAAACTTTTTTATTTTTTCATTTCTTGGTTCTTGACAAAATTTAATTTTGGGGAACTTTAACAGTTATTTTTTATCAATTTTGATATATGATTTTTTAATTGATACCCAGGTATAAATAGTTTAGCTGGGGATGGTTGTAAACACCTAGGTAATTAACCAATCAGATTCCACGAGTATTGCTCATGGAAAATAACACTGTTCATCTCGTTACGCTTTTGTGAATAAATGACAATATATGATTAACATATGTTTTTAAGAGAACAAAAGAATTCACATGATGCATTGATAAAGAGCTGTAGTCTAGTAGACCTTACATTGAACGGTTTATCACATTTGTGATTTTGATATAAAATCAGTGATGTAAAAATAAGGAGATCTGGTTTGATTGCCAATAAGACGATTAAAGTTCAAATGAAGTGGATGTAAGCAGTTATAGGCAACTGTACAGCCTTCAACAATGAGAAAAACCCATACCGAATAGTCGGCTATAAAAGGCCCCCGATATGAAAAATATGAAACAATTCAATTAAGAAAAATAACGGTCTTATTTATAACAAAACAATTTACGAAAAACAAATATGACATATAAAAATCCGTTGAAAAAGGCTTGACTCACCAGATCGATACAAAGCAGAAAAACATCTTACAAAATCACAGACCGTATGTACATGTATATATTTTGGCAAACGATATGTACATTTTGTTATGAAGCCCTCTATTTGATAAGTAGTTGTTTTGTATTTAATTTCTCATCTATTTTTTTGGCTTATTGACGGTTAAGTTCATAACAATTTTTTATCAATGAGGATTTTCCCCACATAAAACAAAGATCATCGTAATGCTCTTACTGTACGTTTAGAGAAATCGAAGCAATTTCAATTAAGAGAAAACCAGGTTATGTTTTATGACAATATAGTTACTTAATGTACTAATAGTTTATAAAAACACCAGAGCGGGAATATATGACTCCTAGACAAGACTATATAAATTTAAGTAATGTATAAGCGAAATTTATTCAACAAGTACAACTACATTATTATTAATTATGTGAAATTTTATTATTTGTGAAACCTCATAAACAATAGCTCAATTCATTATGATTATGATGTCGATCAACATAACACATGCATTTAAAATAAATCAATTAACACATACCTGATTATATTTGAGTTTGTAGTTTTCGGTACACGCCTTCTGTAAAACCATACATGTCCTTTCAGTGAACTTTAATACTGGGTATCAGACAAAATACAATTCAAATAAGTCTTCCCTAATCGTTCATGAAATGGTAGCTTTTAGTTGCAGTCATCTTTATCGGTTGATTATGTTTCCAAAGGATTTGAATAATTGCTTTGGACGATATTGCAAACGCTGAACCCTACCATATTACATGTAGCAGAAATCAAAATAAAGTTGCAACTAGAACATGCAGAAACTGCCATATTATTATTTAAGGCACTCAGCTCTTCCGTGTAAGTTTAGGATCAATGGTAGACTATTATCATTGGTCTTTTCTAAAATTTTAAGCATCCGCTAGCATTTCGGTGACAATATTATCATGGGGGAGGTGCGTTAAGGGCCTTTTCGGAACACAAAAATAAAGTATTACAAAACTAGGTACATTTAGTACCTTTAGGTACGACAAAAATTTAAGGTGCTATATCTTTGAAATATCATGAATGTATATAGATTTTAAAGTACTCAGAAAGCAAAATTCACATTTTGTAACAAAAAAATACACAATTTGTATATTTTTCCAAATATTATTTTTTTGGGGAGGGGGATATTTAGGACATGCAACTTTCAAATTCCAAAATAAGTTAGGCCAAATTAGGGCCTCATCTCAACCTGTTCTTTATTCAAGCGCTTATGTTACTTGAAGACACCTTCTACTTTAAAACTACATTGTCTATCCCATGCAGACCTTGCACATGCCCAGCTGCGGAGGAGACGGCTGGCAAATTTAAAAGGTATGTTAATGTCTCAAGTCGTAAGCCTGTAATTTAGCGGTGTTTGATATGGGCTAGTTAAATAAACACAAAGTGTAACAGTGGCACAAAAAATCCAAATTAAGCTGTATCATGTTACTATTGGTACCGCGTCATTTCTTAAAAATAAATTGATTCAGTATTGGTAAGTATTCAAACTTAATTGACTGGCAATGAATAGATGGTATATAAAACAAGGAAATGTGGTATAATTACCAATTAGACAATTATCCAGATAGACAAAACGACAAAGATGTAAATAAATACAAATACCGTAATGACCAAAAACGAAACAATTTAAATGCGAAACAACGACGACCTGATTTATACAACAATGGACCAAAACAAGTATGGCAGACTTCAACCATCGATAACCATAGATAAGAGGTTTCTGTCTTGGAACACGCACATTTAGATTTTGACAAGGTTCACCAGGTTTATGAGCGATCAACACTTCCCTAAGCTGAAATAGCGGGCAACAATTCAACATAAGAGCAAACTGTTGAATCAATTATTTGGAATGGCTTGACTCATCAGATCAATACTAAGAACAAAACAAATGACAGACAAATGACAAAAAAAAATAATAAATATAATGTAGTGCATACATGTAGAGACATCCAATGATTAAGTAAATTTAAGCTAGATAAATACTGAACATGCACAAAAAAGAGATCAAATTCTTCATTACGTTGTTTGTAGCAATGAAGGTCTATAAGCATAATCCGATGAATACAAATACAAATTAATGATACACTGAAGAAGGGAATCAATTAGACGAACATGTTCCTTTATTTATACGAAAATCTCCTTGAACAATTAATCTCAATGCATACACATGTTTAAACATCTAATTATTAAATATTCGAAAACATATGATTAAGAAATCTTTTTTAAAAAATCCTGTTTTTAAATAAAGTTTCAATTTAATTTATTTGTTGTAGACTGCATGCTGCATGCTGCCTTCTTCATGTATTTTAATAACGTTTGTCCACTTACTGTCTCATTGAGGTTTACTCCTGTCACATCCTTTATTCCAACCTACTTTCAAATACATATACAGACCCAAATGCCGTTTGGTCAAATAGAAAGCTCTGTTGAAAGCAAGAGCGTTTCTTGTTGAAAGCCTGTGCGAAATAAAATGTGTTTTAAAGTATCAAGCTGATAATTATGATGATGGATGACTGTAAAACATAAAGCGGCAAATTAAATGCATGTTGAGGAGAAGACTATTTTAAGGCTATATGAATATGAACCTTGCTTTGTATATCGAAACGTATTTTAACCAGTTAGTTCACAAGGCAGCAGGAAGACATGGCTTCTCGAACATATTTTTTTTTTACTCCCAGCCGACAAATCCTTGTGCCAAATGTATCAAACTAACAATACTTATGCATGTGTAGATACGATAACTTCAGACAATATCATTAGAAGTAATAAGGAAAATTACATTAATTACATAAAGCACGGTCAAATGGACAAATTATTCCAAATACGTAAATGTATTTCCAATGACTTTATTTTTCGCAAATTGAGTTTACCCAACAACGCAAACGTCTACCATGTATTTGTGTGCACCAAACTTGCCACCACCCATACACCGAATATTGTTTAAACTATATGCACATTTATTTTGGCTTGTTAGTTGACATGTATATTGTTCATCACTATATTTTTGCCTTTATATGGAAACGAATAAATGATTTTAATGATCTAATTCAAAAGTGGATTTTTAACTATTTCGTATTGATTTAATAAAACATTCACATTTTGCCTTCAATCACTTCCGTCCTTATTCAATTACAACAGGATATTCGGTATCTCTAACATGTGTAATGGAAAATTCTAAAGTCGTCATTTGCTTGATTTTAGTTTCTTTTTTCAGAATCTGCAATTGTCAGTTGTCATCAGACGGACAATGCATCCGAAACAAAAGGTAAGGTCATATTGTCTATGTTATTCTAATTGTAGTACGATGTGCATGACACATTGAAATTATTACACTAACTGCTTTAAGTATATAACCACTAATTCAGGCCCGATCTAACGAACATATAAAATAGTTCCTACGCATAGCTTTAATTTTGTGAAAAAAAGTGTTTGGGTAATTTTCGTATCCAATAAAAGCCTAAGGACTAGGGACTATTGTTGGACTCTTACTGAAAGTTTCTTTTAAATGAAAAAATAAATAAATAAACGAGACGCGAGTCCTTGGTCCGAGTGTGACCTAAATTGATATCCGAAACACCATGCGGAATAAAAATAATAGAACAATTAATCCAAAACAATAGAAAAAATACTAAAATAATTGTATGACATTAATACACTAGGGAACAAACTACGAGTGTCAAAATTAAACCCTCATTACAACTTATTATAATCAGAAAACTGTAAAGTGTCTTTCAAAAAAAAACAAAGACATTATAGAAATGCTTGATTACTCCTTGGATTGGTTTAGACACGCGCAATAATTTGATTAAGAAGACAAGAACATAAAGCTGGAACTAAGGATAAATCTTAAATCTCTGAACTAAGAAGAGAACTGGATGATCTAAGAAAAGAACTGGACAGAAACAGAGGATATCAAAACTACAGAGGAGGACACAGAGGACGTCGGTTCAACCATCAATACAGACACTCGTCTTATTAAAGACAAAGATAAAATTTAAATATGTGAACTGAAATGCTACAATAAATAATTTTTATAATGAACTCAGATCAAACATCAGTTAAACAATTCAAACAAGTAAAACTGTGAGCTACTGCTTACTGATGATACCCCCGCCGAAATATTTCGGTAAACAGGAAGTTGTTGAGTGATGAATCTGAAAAAACGCATCACACGGTATAGCTGACTTATATAAACCCTGAAACCAAATTTCAGAAATCCTTGTCAAGTAGTTCCTGAGAAAAATGTGACGAAAATTTTCAACTTGGCTATCATGTGTAAAATAATACAAGTGTTCGGTAAACAGGAAGTTGTTGAGTGATGAATCTGAAAACGCATCACATTGTGTAACATACTTATATAAACCCTGAAACCAAATTTCAGAAATCCTTGTAAAGTAGTTCCTGAGAAAAATGCGACGAAAATATTCATGGGACGGGCGGATGGACTGACGGAAGGACAGACAGAGGTAAAACAGTATACCCCCACTTTTTCAAAGCGGAGGCATAATTAAAATCTATACAGGACTCTACATAAATAATGGATTATTCTTACTTGGCAAACACATTTATTTTTTATTTGCAGATTCGAGGTAAAGTTTGTTTATATTACTGATTGTTATTAAATAAATAAATCATATTTAATATTTGTAAAATGAATTTATGGGAATAGATATTATAAATGATACACAATCTTATTATAGGTCTCACTCTAATCAAGCGAGATAAAATCATACCATGATTTTAGGTCAACAAACACTGTTCGGTGATTATCTACACATACTTAATGATATCGTCTGATAATCTTAAACCTATTCAAAGGGCGAACACATCTTTGTAATAAGTTAAGGCTAGATTTCCTGCTAGTTAGAATAGAGGTTAAAAGGAAGTAAATAAAGATGACTGGCGCCACCTAGATTTTACATCCAAGATAATAGGTAGAAGTAAATTTATTTTCTGCTGCCCTTGTAATTAGAAATCAAAATTGAAATAGTGAGAAATGAGTGTTGGCCATTGGTGTAGAAATAGCGAGAAATTTAGAGAAAACTCTCTGTGACGAGCAACATTTTCTGTGCCAAATTTAGCAAGGGGTGTTCTTCGTTTATACCATTTCGAAAATTCCGGAACCGTTGAGTACCCTTAAAAAATGCAATTTTTCTATCAAAAAAGCTGCGGCACCATATGTGTTTTGCAGTTTCAATTACACCCAAAGGTGTTGATAATTCAGAATTCGACATTTTTTTCTATGGATCTTTGATAGTGAAAACGCAGGACCAAAAAAGGCTACCATTGTCGCCTATGTAAATAATTACTTCCTTGTAACCTAAAGCGAAATAACGATTTCTGGCGCATCACTGTATTTTTCGAGATATTTTAGAAATTGGATCGGAAAAATTAATAAGGTACTAAGTGATAAACTGTATCAGAAGAAAATTGCTGATCGCCAAGAAACTATAGTCTATATCAAATTTTTACTGTTTTTTTATTCTTCTGCCTAAGGGGTAGGGTTCATTAACCTACTGTAAGAACGAGACTTCTGTCAATGACTCTGTCTTTAATCATTTCTCCTCATCCTCGATAACACTGCATGCATTTATGCATATTTAAAAAAAGGGGGGCTTATTTTTGCTGACGTTAGCGAAATGTTTGTATTTTTAATGGCCAAAATGTGCCAAAATGCCCCTAAAATATTAAAATTAGGTAAAAAATCAAAGGCAATACATGTTTCTCCTTAGTATCGTCGAATTGAATATTCTGCACACGATTCATATAAAACACATAACAGCAATGATAAATTCTTAGTTTCAGCACTTTTATAGTCTATTTCATAAAATACTTTGACTCTTATGCAACGGTGTTCATATATTCGTGATAAAGACATATAAGTTGGACACAGTTATCAAATCATCAGCCTAAAGTCTTTAATAGGCCTAAATCGAACTTCATTAATCAAACACCTTGTTTTAAACATAGCCAAACAGTCAAAATAAGCTGGCCAATGGCCCCAAGTCTGTAAAACGTTTTCTGCAAAGGGGGGGGGGGGGGGGGGGGCACCTGTAAAGAAAGTCATTTTTAAAGGTGAAAAATTGTACCTTTAATCCAAAAATTTGAACTTTAGCAGCAGGAGTATATAGTAATCGTTTAATGTAAAGATTGTCCGATTTTATTTCAATATATGTCAGTATAGGTTAAAAGGAAGTAAATAAAGATGACTGGCGCCACCTAGATTTTACATCCAAGATAATAGGTAGAAGTAAATTTATTTTCTGCTGCCCTTGTAATTAGAAATCAAAATTGAAATAGTGAGAAATGAGTGTTGGCCATTGGTGTAGAAATAGCGAGAAATTTAGAGAAAACTCTCTGTGACGAGCAACATTTTCTGTACCAAATTTAGCAAGGGGTGTTCTTCGTTTATACTATTTCGAAAATTCCGGAACCGTTGAGTACCCTTAAAAAATGCAATTTTTCTATCAAAAAAGCTGCGGCACCATATGTGTTTTGCAGTTTCAATTACACCCAAAGGTGTTGATAATTCAGAATTCGACATTTTTTTCTATGGATCTTTGATAGTGAAAACGCAGGACCAAAAAAGGCTACCATTGTCGCCTATGTAAATAATTACTTCCTTGTAACCTAAAAGCATCGTCTGCTAAAAACAAATGAAACATATTACAAAAAATTACATTCTCAGAAGTTTAGGAGCAAAACTATATTTACATGTTTTTAGTCAAATAATCAAAACGAAAAAATAACACACGTTCGATCACATAATAAAAAAAAATTGTCACCTGCTACGAAAAATAATCGCTTTGTAGCCGACTAATTGCACAACGTCACAACTGATATGATGCATATGTACACTTACTACTACGCAATAGGAACATTCAATGCTTTTAGCCAGTCAAATAGCAAAGTACTATCAATTAACTTCAACCTATCAAAACTATACACAATAAATGGAAAACACGTGCACAGCGGTCTTTACTAATCCCTATAGATAAAACTCACTTCGATTGTCATCATAGCTATAAATTGTATACATACAAAGATGTTTTAAAAGGAAAAACACCTCAAACAATCATTAATCTTCTAAGATATAGAGCTACAGTAAACATATTCCAAGACTAAAAATTGTATACAGAGGTGTTTTAAAAGGAAAACAATCACTATAATCTATCAAAATAAATAGCTAGTTGTAGAAGTTTTCCAAAGCAATATATAAGAAGAAATATTAGAAAAAATACAACGGTGATTTTAGGAATAAACCTTCCTTTAACTATCAATTCTAATACATATACTGAATATACAGATATGGTACATATAGATAAATACATAATAAAAGGGATTGAAAAGGGAAAGGCTTGTGTGTATCTGTGCTATATTATACACAGTTAGACAGAATAGAATCGTATGCCTAATAATAAAAGAAGACGCCTGTGAAATCAGGATAAGAACCGTAAACTTTTGAAAAACAAACAAAGGAAAAACAGAAACAACAAACGTAGGAAATCTTACAAAAGAAAACTGAAAGAAACTGCTAAAAGCATAAATAACTTATAATATATTGATATGTATACCAAACAAAAATTAAACGAAAACGAAATATCAGTTCTTGCTAAGGGGTTAAAATTCGTTCCTAGTCCAAGCATAAAAAAATGCAAAGGCAAATCTTTTCATTGATTTTTAAGAACTAGCGCGAAAAATGAGATGCAAATATCAGTTTGACGACGGAACAAGTAATGTTGTCCCTCCTCCATTTCAACAGAAAACAGGATATAATTCAACTCTTCCTTATAATGCAATTGAAGACTACATTTTTGCTACTAAGATTGAAATTGGAAAATTAAATACTAAAAAAATCAAATCAAACATGTCCATCAATGACAAAAATAGCACTATCGACTTTGAGGAATAACAAGAATATCATAATTAAAAAAGAAGACAAGAATTCATCAACAGTGATACTTGACAGAGATAAATATAACAAATTAGCCATGGATCATTTGAACGACCACATTCCTTATGAACAGGTAGATAAATCTGACTTTTTGCCTGTTGTGCGGCTCAGCAGTACCTGTTTTTGTACTACCAAACTTCCAGGAACCAGTGAGCTCATAACAGATATGTCCCATTTGACAGCACAAACCAAAATTATACATGTATATTGTTTTAACATGGAATAATTTTCACTTTATTTTAACTAAGGACAAACGTGCTACGAATGCATAAATTTGCAGAATTTAATATAGAAAGCATACGACTATGAATTAGTAGTTTTATTACTTATAACTATACTGTAAGTGTGTAGTTATTTAAGGCATGTTTTAATTAAATTGTTTTGTCGAATAAATTGTTATTTTTCCTCCAGTACGTCTTCTAATGGAGTGAGCATTGCCGTCAAAACAATTTTCTGTTGCCGCAACTTTGAACCCATAGGAACAAATAACACATGCAAAGGTAGGTTAATTATTCTCTAACACGAACGAGTTAGAAATCACATATCACCAAAATGTGTAAACATCACCATAGAACGGGATATTGAAGCATAGCTGCAACAAAGTTGCTTTACTCGTAATGATTTATTCAGTTTATGTTTGTTCTCAAATTTCAATTGTCTAAGATGTTGTTGAAAAATGTCTTTTAATACTTACAAGTCATCAATGACATTAAACTAAATATTTCCCAAACCCTCTGATTACACATTTTCTTTGGATTCAGCAACTTATTATGTTTTCTGTTCTGTTCATAAAGCGGTTGATTGACATCTACATCTACAGCGACAAAATAGTTAAGTAAGGCTTATATTTTTTTCAGCAAATAATGACTTTATGCAGTTTCCAGTCACTGATCCGGTAGTATTCCTTATTGAATTATCTGTTATATAAAAGAAAGGATATGGGGTATCCATGATCCTTGACACCAAATCAGTACATGCTCTGCAAAAAATACAAAAAACCAAGGGAACAGCGCTTTTATTGTTATTTTTCATCTCAAAGTCACATTGAGGCCTTCAACAAGGAGCAAAAACTCTCGCCTAACTGCAAGTTTAAGACGGCCCTAGAACCGGTTTGGGCGGGATTCCGTGTAAACTAACGATCACGCCTCAACTTTGCTTGTATGCATATATGGACTATTCTCTTTAGATATTAGACTTTTCTTATCTTCAAATTGTTAAAAGGGCAACAACGCGTAAATAAACAATTGGTTTTTTTTTTTCATATATAAAACAACATGTTTTCAGGGTGTGAGTTAGGATTTACATCCGATGGCTTAAAATGTGAACCTTGTCCTAGGGGCAAATATGGTGCAAAATGTGGAGGGTCATGTTCCTGTAACGATAGTGAAAGGTAAGTCTGTCTGTATCTATCTTCAAAACAAACAAAAAGAAAAAAACATCTTTTATATCCAATTTGATTTGGACATTCTATTTTTTAAATTACCAAGTTTACATTTGTTCCATTCAACTTAATATTTCTCATTTCTATTTTGACGTGTTTTGCTCCAATTTGTAAACTTGGAACTGATAAACGTAAACTTGGAAATGAAAAAATTTGTCGTTATATAAGCAATCAACTCAATGTAACGGGAACATATTCTCTTTCACCAGTTATCAATAAAATATCATCTTAACTAATCCAACTCTAAGATATGTCGAACACTTTACCAACTATAAGATTTAACTAATCGACATCCATAGAATTGTATGGAAAGTTGTGCGGAACGGAAGAATCGCCCTGGACGACAAAATGCTAGACAAGATCATAGATGCTAAAATGAAAAAAAAACACTGACATTGGCGACGACAAAATTGCAATAATATAAGTGTATGATACTGACTTTAGAACACATGGCATTTAGTATAGAGCAAGCCTCACCAAGTACGCCAAAAAATCAAAGAATCAAACTACACACCAACTGCATTAGCGATTGTTTTAACATGAAAAGCATCGCTAACTTCTGCAAAACGTGATGCGACCATTGATTTGATGGAATACATAAGTTTATATAACTGTGATTTAATAATGCTTAATTATATACATGTTTTTTCTCTTGCAGGTGTCATCATAAAACAGGTTGCGTCCCTAATAAAAAAGGAAAACTTGTGTTTGGTAAGCATACATGTATTAGTTGTAATTGTGTAATAAGTTACCCAAAGCAACAAATACTATATGTATTTGCATTTTCCTGCATGCAGATACTTTATTTATTCTTTCGAAATACTCAAACATGACCTAGTCGCAATGTTTAAACAACTGCCAAGGGTAACCATTATTGTTGGAACTAAAACGGAACCATTACAAAAAGGCATTTCTGATTTTAAAAATATATAATTATTATACGAAAACCAGACATGTCGTTGCATATGCGATTGAAAGTCGTTTTTTTATTAAATTTACACGTTGTTGAAAATTATCAAGTATAATTCATGGTCCATAAGACATGTCATGTCGTTTTATCTGGATTAAAAGTTATAATTATATGGTTATTTTGCACAAAATAAAGAGTCAATAGTGAAGTAGTAAATTAAAGGAGTAGGCTCGGTAAGACCCCTTTTTGACCCCAAAATACATCATTTTTACATATTTGTTAAACATTTAAACTTTTAGCTATTTATAGGAAAGTAGACTACTTTTGTTAGATAGATATGGGCTGATTTTTTACAATACAATGCACATGTATCAGGTACTAGCATCAATAATTCAGGCAAAATAACTGAATTCCTCACAATTTTAGCATTTGTACTAATTTTTAGACGGTTTTGGTCTAAAATAGAAGTGACCGCACTTTTATAAAGTCTCATATTTAAATATATGTTGTATTTGATGATAATACATAACATATATAAAGTTTGAGACTGAACACGAATGCGGCCACTTACATTTTAGACAAAAACCATCTGAAAAGTGACGTTTTATGGCATATTTGATAGATTTTTCATATTTAAACTTGAATTTGTGCGTCTTTAATGACCAAATCGACTGAAGTTGATACTTAAGAGTTTAAAAAATCTTTCACCAGATGTACCTCAAATTTTAGGCCAAATTTAGCCCTTACCAGACCTTCTCCTTTGTTTTGCTAACAAATCTTTTGTTAACTAAAATGCCTTGATCATCATTCTGAAATAACACTACAATTGAATGAATTTTATTTGTTGTTTTTTTTTTTAATTGTTACTTTATTTTTACTAAATATTCCTTTTTTTTATTATTAATTAAACTGTATTTCCTTCTCCAATTTCAGGAAGTAGTACTACTTTGACTACCGTTCACAATTTGGCAAACGACGGCAAGTTTTAATACAATATTACTTTAGTAACATGACAATAGCAAAATTAATATCTTTTAAAAGTTTTAATATTAAAAAAACTAAATATCTACATGGCATTTGTACCAGTAACAGACAGGTCTTTTTATAGTTACATGTAGACGTTAAAAACCAAAAGTAAAGAAAAGTATCAAAAGCAGAGCCAAACTATTCAATAACTGAATTACATACATGTATAAGTTTGATACAATTCTGTATTTGTCATATACATTTGTATATGCTCTCCTTGACGACGTAAATAATTCATATTTTTTTAACGAAAGGCTAAACTTTACTCTTAATGTCAGGGTTGTAAAAGCATTAAAAATTTGATTACAAAAATTGAAAGCTTGTTTTTGTAATTGTTTAGAGTTGTCAAGTCGTTGAACGTACGCACATATTTAGTATTAAGCGCGACATTAGCTTCGATCAATGATTCAAACCCCTAATGAAATTACCAATAAAGCATTTAATCCGTCAACTAAAAAAACAATTAAATATAAACATTCTATGATTAAAGGACTGTAAAACGTCGAATTAAGTCATTAAAACAAACATAGACTGTTTAACCCCTATAAAGAATCTTTTGTTTTCCTGGTAGTATGGATACAGTATGGAAAGGAAACGTAAGGTTATCTACGACCCATCTACGTGAAGTGTGCAAATATAGCGTATCAATATAACTTTTAACAATGTTTAATATAAAACTTGATGAGTTAACCTATAGTTGTTAAATTCTGTGTCATTTGGTCTCTTGTGGAGAGTTGACTCATTGGAAATCATACCACATCTTCTTTTTTATAAGCCCTTTTCAACTGAGTTTTATAGTTTGTTCACATGTACTGTTACACCACTGTCCCAGGTTAGGGGAGGGTTGGGTGTCCGCTAACATGTTTAACCCCGCCACATTCTGTATGAGCCTGTCCCAAGTCAGGAGCCTGTAATTCAGTGGTTGTCGTTTGTTGCTATATATCATATTTGTTTTTCGTTCATTATTTTGTACATAAATCAGGCCGTTAGTTTTCTCGTTTGAATTGTTTTACATTTGTCATTTCGGAGCCTTTTATAGGTGACTACGCGGTATGGGTTTTACTCTTTTTTGAAGACCGTACGATGACCTATAGTTGTTAATTTCTGTGTCATTTGGTCTCTTGTGGAGAGTTGTCTCACTGGCAATTATACCACATCTTCTTATTTTGATATTGATATCATGGGCATGTTCAATCCGTGTATCATATTTTTATTTCATCTTTATCTATTTGTATGCACATCTCACACAAATTACTTCAAAAATCGAAAGGACGTACATCTAAAACAAAAGCATACAATCGTGTTGCCTCTACTCTGTGTTTTTCCTTTTAGGTACTGAGTTCAACAGTGTAATCATATTCATGATTTCCATTGCTGTCATAGGGATTATAGTTATTATCATTTGGACAGTATGGAGATGTAGATTCAAACTTCTACACTTTAAAAAATTACAACGTAGGAGAAAATTGATTGTGAGAAAAAATAACGTGTCCAACGGTTTACAAATTGAAACAGAAGTTAATATGGAAGAAAATGACCGAAATACTTCTTATGCTGTTATAAACGAAAGAAACATGGTACAATTTTAGAATATTGATGAATGACTTATTCATGATGCAAATTAAAATTAATTTACAGTGTTTATTTATGTAAACAATATGTGATTATTGTGAAATTTAAGGTTAAAATCATCCTGAATGTGCATGAGCTATTTTCCACTGGACGTACAACAAACCGCAATCAATTAATCAAGACCTATCGAAAACCCAGGGCTTAAATTAAACTGTTACAGTATATGTTTATTAAAAATAAATAATGAGAGAACACCATGAACCAGTATTATTTAACAGTTTCGATGACATAAGCATACATTTATACAGTAGGTTTTGTTTTACTGTGATGAGAATCAACAGCCTTTTTTTCTAATTTTTTTCAATAACAAAAGTTTTTAGTAGTTTTGGGTCAAACGAAGCAATCTATTTTTTTAGTTATAACCATTTTAAGTCTTTTTTCATATTAACTAAATAATGCGCATGTCTTGTAAATGCATACTTGTAATGTATTATTTTATTTTATTTATTAATATTACTTTTACTGTTACATTTTTTGTAAGTCTTTTTTTGTTATATCCATTTTACGTGACTCTGTATTTATGTATCCTGTCATACTTTGAACGACAAAATTATTTTATGTCTACCTGTGCGAATTTCAAACGCGCGATTTTACGCCAGTACTTAAAACCTTCCATCCTTTATGGGTGGATTTTACATAGATAAATAAAATCGTATAATATAAGCAAATTGAGGATGTTAAATTTGATGTATGCCTTTTTGTGCTTCTTCGTTACATTTGTTTGTTTTTATAGTGATTAAGATGATAACACAATGTTGACTGCTGTACCCCTATTTTTGAAATTTTTACCTATTGTGTCTGTTTGTTTTGTTCACGCATCGTTGTCAATATAATGGAATTTGATGCGACTGTCATACAAGTGAGAGGTTTATCTAGCTATAAAACCAGGTTCATTCCACCATTTTCTACATAAGAAGATGCTTGTACCAAGTCAGGAATATGACAGTTGTTATCCATTCGTTTGATGTGTTTGTTTTTTTGATTTTGCCATTTGATTGGGGACTTTCCTTTTTGAATTTTCCTCGGAGTTCAGTTTTTTTGTGATTTTACTTTTTTTGTAATGCAGATCTTATATTGCCTAATTGATTGATTGATTGTTGGATGCTAAATGTCCAGTGGCAAATATTTCATGCATGATCAGGACGAGAACATATTAACACAAAATACAATAGGTAGGTCCTGTAATAGAGGCCGTCCGGGATTGAGGTTGGGGATGTTTGGACTGCCACTGGAAAATGAGAGTATTTTGGAAATTTTGACTTGCAACAGGCCACCTACGGACCCCTGAAAGAATTATTGAATGGGTCCTTAACGTGCAAGGAGCGTGACATTCTCTTTACACGAGGCATCGGATTTAACGTTTCCATTCTGACCGGACGTGGCTCCGTTTTCAATAAAATAAATTGAGTATATGCATGTTAGTTTCGCAGAACTTCTTATTTGAATCGTGCAGTTTATTTACGAAGTATGGGATGTCTGTTCCTGAAGCAAGAAATTTGTACTTTCGTTTGTCTTTTCATATAACAAAGTTGGAGTAATGCTTTCAATTTGTCTTTAGGCCTACGATGTGAAAAACTTATGTAAAGGGAAGAGAAAATAAAAATGTTTATATATATATTATAATACGTCCTGGACGGAATACACGTTGTACAATTTATCTTCCTTTCTCTCATTTTGTTCTTGCCCTAAACGTCAGTGAAGCAACTGCCTTGAGGCAACTCAGTCGCCTCTCTGACTCATTAGAAGCTACGCCACTGATCATTACTTATTCTTTCAGTATCATATTCGCGATATACTGAATGACAAATGTGTATACTTTCTAATTGAAATAAGGTTGAATAAAAACTTAATAGACATTGGTCAAAATGTTTTCTAAAAGACCTTGTACAAACATGCTTTATCCAACTGTTAATGAGTATTATAGCAAAACAATAAAATATTTTAAATGTATTACATGTAGTTCTAAAATAAATAGTAATCCCGTTTAAATAAATATAATCACGTCTGTCAAATGAATATTATGGTATCTCATGAAAATATTGTAATGTAAGTAGTTCATAAACAAACATGTCAATGAATACTTTTATCAACATGCACTTACTAAAATCATTATAAGCTCCATTCCGACCACAGCAAAACAGACGCCACACTTTGGCAAGGGTTTAACTGCTGGTTTGAAGATGACCATTTAGTGACCTTATTTCTAATCTGAAGATGCCCTTATGTGTGTATTTATTTATATAGATATAAGAAGATGTGGTATGAGTGCCAATGAGACAACTCTCCATCCAGGTCACCATTTGTAAAAGTAAACCATTATAGGTCAAAGTACGGCCTTCAACGCAGAGCCTTGGCTCACACCGAACAGCAAGCTATAAAGGGCCCCACAAATGACTAGTGTAAAACCATTCAAACTGAAAAAACAACGGTCTAATCTATATAAAAACGAGAAACACTTATGAACCACATCAACAACCGACAACCACTGAACATCAGGTTCCTGACTTAGGACATATTTATATTGCCCTAATTTTAGCTTGAACAACATGTTTACTCGTGTTTTTACAAGCAGTGTCGAATTTAAAAACGAATATCTTTTTTTTATTTGGAGATAGGAATAAGAGTAGTAGACAATGACTGGGTATTTTTACTTTTAAAATCATTTATAAATATTATTAACCAGCTGTCTTATTGGTAATAATTCCAAAATTACCGTTTATTTGTTCATATAAATAATTACAAATGTACATACTTATTGGTGTATTGAAAACAAGTGTATAAAAGAATAGAAAAATTACAATCATGCTTTATACTTTTTCGTTATGAGGAGAATAATGTTTTAAGTGGCAGTTCTTTAATTATTTCTGTTGAATTTCTTCACAGCTCAGGACGATTAAAAGCTTTGTATGTGTATACATCTGTCTATTGTTGAAGTCGGAACATTGCCTTCTAGATATCTTTTGAGCATATTTTCTGTTAAGTTGTTGTCTCACTGACGTATAACCACTCTTCTATGTAAATAAACCGCTCCGATTTGACACACAGGAAGAAAACCATTCATTTTACTCTTACATCCAATTGTTTATCTAAATTCATTAGGGAGACATTATTTTATCTCAAGAAAAACAAGGAGTCTTGTCAAAAAAGTGTTTAAGTAATAGTAAAAGTTCAATGCTAGAGATTAAAAGACCACTGAACAAAAAGGGATGTTGAGATCCCCAAACCTGATGCCCTTTTTAAAAGGAGGTCTTTGAATGTCAATATTAACTTGTCATTGAACTTTTACTGACTTACAAACCGTAAAAAACGTAAGAAACGTACACAAACAAGCACTTGCAGAAGCCTAAAACGAAACAAATTGCAATTTCCCAAGTTATACGGGAATATAAAGGTTAGTGACTTACTGCCCAAATTCAAACTCTGCGAGAGTTGGTTCTTAGCATTGTGTGTGAGTTTC